AAAATTATATAAAAAAATTATAAAAAATTTTGTCTTTATATTATTGTCCTTAAAAATGTTTAACGGCCATTTCAAAAGGCTGCGCTTCCGTTTGTCACCTCTTCCTCACGTTAGTCACACCCGCCCTCACAAGTCACAACGCAATCTTTCCTCCTATTCCTGCATTAAAATGTGATAAAATCCTAGATTGCTTCTGAAAATGGAAACAAAAATTAAACATGGACGATATTTGCGATTCTGCCAATAAAATTTGTAGTTTTTAATAAATTATTGATAAAAGAATAATTTTTTATATTATTTTTATACATTATTAAATGAATAAATATATTTAATATTATAAATTTTAACTATATAAAAAAATTAATTATTTAAATAATATATAAAACTATACAAAAAATAATATAAAAAATTACTCATAAATTATTTTCCTTTCTAATATGATTTATGTATCTAATGATTTCAAATCAATTGGCACTGGCATGAAATGGAACAAGGCTGAATTTATTGTCAAGTAACTGGTTTTTTTAGGGTAGATTCAGTATTCAAAGTTTTGTCATCATAGCACTGGTAACCCTTGGTAGATTGATAATATGTATTAAATATCTTAATTTATGTCAAAATTTAAGTTTTAATTGAAACAATTATAATATTTTTTTAATTCTTTCTTATTCAAAAAAACTTTTGTCATTAATAGATAATAAAATATTATAATTAATTTCTTTAAACATATTATGTGAATGTAAAAGATTACTTGAGAAAACTTGAGATACTCTAAAATTGACTCCAAAATAACTTAAATAATAATAAATAAATCGATAATGTTATATTTATAATATTATGTAAAATTATAAATTTATAATTATAATATAATATTAAATAAATATGATATGATATTAAATATATGTATATAATATTATAAATAAAAATTTAAATAAAATAAATTAATTATATAATAATATATTATATTGTATATATAATATTTTCTTAAATAAATAAGCTTCTTTAACCAAATCCATGTTGAACTGCTGCATCTGCTTAACGATAACACTGACGACGGCTAAAAAAGATGGTACTAAAAATAAAATTATGTAATAATATTACAACTACAAAAGCAATAGTCCGAAACACTAAATTTAGCGCGGAAGAGAAATACACGCTTTCAGCCCCACACTCGTTTACTACCTCTGCAGCTCTGCTTTTTCCGCACTGAAGTTTATATTTCTTTGCGAGTGGTTCTGGCGTTCTTCTCTCCGGCGGAAGTAATGGAGGTTTCCGTCTCGATACTTTAGAGAATGAATTTTCCGGCGCATAAACGATTTGGTGAAAGATCTTTTTTTTTTTTTTATTCAGTCAGTACCGTTTCATATTACTTTTGTTTTGGGTATTTCGAAAAGGAAAGTGAATTTACTTGCTACATTATGCCACTTTCTCGATTTAAATCGTTAATAAATTGGGATTCTCGTTTGGATGGTAAGAATTCTTTAGACAACTGCAAGTTAATGAGTAAAGTTGGGATCTTTAGAGCCACTCAAGTTTCTGATCACTTTGTTTGATCAATTAAGAGAGTTCTGTTTCTGGGTTGATTGATATCAATTGTTAGTTGATCAAAAAAAAGGTATCAATTGTTGGTTTTGGTGCATTTTGAGTCTTTTGTATTCGTTTAAACTTAGTTTTTCTGTTTGGTTGCTAAGAAAATTAGTAAGAAAAAATGCAATGGGTGGATACATAAGTTGGCCGGAAATATATATATATATATATATAATAAAATAAAATTCTCACAACCAGTGGTAATGGCTTGTGCTTTTTCTGATGAAGTTTTGCTGGGTTTTGCTTCCATTTGCGGTAGTTGTTACATCATTGAATGGGATAATTATTAAGTTTCTCTCTCAATTATGGTTTAGGTGAAGAAGAAACTTCACTACAATGTTCACTCCAGGCTTCAATGGTGATGCCATTAGACGGGTACGAGAGGTAAACCCATATTTATGTATGGATTGAGTAATCATGTAATGTAATGTATGATCTCATATGGTGATATGTATGGGTTCCTTTTTGTGTGTGTGTGTGTGTGTGTTGCTTTTCTTTCTTTTCCATTCTTTGTCTCATGCATCCATCTTGATATGCTGTGTCTTGTGTGTATATGTCTGTATGTGAAATGTAACATATGTGCTGGTAGTTTGTAGAAAACTATTTCTGTATGTGAATATATGTTTCAGCTTTATCAATATAATAGTCTAGTCTAGACTCAGGTAGTCAGGCGTTGAAAGGATTTACTTTACCTTGTAAACTTGTATTGGGAGGGCAGGACCAAAAAAGGAGATGCTTCCAATTTAACCTTGTCTTCGAAACCAAAATTTGAACCTGTTCCTATTTTAAGGAATGTTGGACTTCAGTCTGTATTCCCTTTTCCTGCCAAATTTGGTGTTGGACATTTGTCTCCCAGTGTGCTTCCAGTGTCTCAGGAAATACCAATTAGTGGCAAGGACAGTGAATCAGGTTCAGACATGACCATATCATCTGATTCAGATGAGAATTTCTGTAGAAGGAAACACTCTTATATTTGTTCCCCTCAAGATGACAAGACTCCCGTTGGTATGGCCACCGGTACCAGACTCGCTGCTTCTATATGGAAGCAGGTAGCTTGTGGAAATTTTGAATGTTAGTGAAGGCAAGGAAATAGTGTTGGGGGACAGGCAAGGATTAATGGTAGGATTGCAGTTGGGAAGCCTATCCCCATACAAGATGAAATTGAATTGTTAGATTCTGCCAGTAGCACTACAGGCAGTGCTGCTGGTACATCACATGGAGAAGCATAAAATGCAGGTAATCTTTCTTATAGTGTTATTTCACCATCCAATGTTGGGATGACATCTAGACAGGTTAACCATCTTTCAGTGCACTTATTCAGGATAAAAGATCATTTGATGGTGCTAACTGTTGTTTACTGTGATATGTGAATGATGGGCATGCTGAAAAAAAAAAAAAAAATGGAAGAAGTTTCTACTAACCAAAAACAAATCGGAATGGCAGCTTACTTTCTTCTTCATGTTAATATTATACAATTGGAGGAGACAGAAGCATGTGCTTGTAATGAACATTATTGCTTATCCATAAAGTTGCTGAACATTGCATTGAGGCATTTGGATGAAAGAACATAAGACTTACTCATAAAACAGCATACTAGAAACCATGCCTGATTGTTTTGTCTACAATCTAGGACAGCTTGATGCTATGTTTCATTTTTCTAAATTGAGCTGAATACGTGTTGCTTTAGGATATGAGTACACTAATGCTGCATACCTGAGCTTGTAGCTCAATTGGTTTGGTACATATTCCCATTCTCAAGAGATAGGTTTGAATCCATACTCCCCTCAAATATTATTTAGTAGTTGTTTCATTTAACCTTGCAAGCATTAGGGAGCCCTTTTGGCTCCTAAACTGGTAGAGATCATAAGCCTGGATAATGATAACATGTAATTCTTGCACGTGATTTATTGTTCCTAAAGCCTAGGAGCTAAGCACTCTTACCACACAGTTTCCGCTGCAGGAAATGAAATTCTAAAGAGTCTTTGGGATGCATGTAACCATATAGAAGTCCTTGCATATTCACAAAACAATGGCCAGCGGGTGTTATCATCCAACATATACAATAGGTGGGCTTTCCAGTGGTTAACTTTCTGAAATGTTACTGAACTCTGTGATGGATGTAAATGTTTATTGGGTCAAAAACGTTTCAATTGGCTGTATCCATCTTGTGAAGCCGGTATTTGTTAGGTATCTTGTTGCTTATATGCATTTATAATATGGAAATAATAAGCTTAAAGTAACCCATTCATTTAGTCTTTAGCTCAAAAGTTTTTCAAATTTTATAGCTAGTATGCATTCCTTCTTCTCTCAGCTAAATAAGTTCTTACAGGATATCCACTATGGAAGGATGCATAAAAAGAATCCTTTTTTCAATGATATTCCCAATGTGGCACCTAGTGCATCTCCCTCTATAAGTTCGTTTCACCAAACTGAACAAGTTGCTGAGGGAAGTTGGACCTCTAGGTTTCATTGTTCGCATAATATTCCAAATTCAAATAATTCTGTGGCTACAAATAAATCAAAAGCAGCAATGGGTGTTCCTTCTAGCACCACCGTTGAGGATGGCACAACGAAGGGGAATCATGATCAATCTGTCAGGTCTGTAGCCCATGGATGTCTATGTATGTCTCTGGTTTCTTTGCAATTATTGTGATACAAAATGTTATTACATAATCCTGACTGTACTGTACCATGCTTCACAGGGTTGCAGACAGTAGAGAAGTCAATGAATCTGTGAGCTCTTTGTCCACTCGTCAACCCATTTTTCATGCAAGGTTAATTATATAGTCAAGTTAACAATGATTTTAACATTTCTGTTGTTTCTTGACACTACTATCAATCAAGTTATTCCCCCTTGATTTCAATTAGTATCCTTGTAACAATTATCTAAGCAGTGAAGCTGTTCTTTAAATTGTTATCCTTATCTGTTATTTGTACTGATTCAGTGGGCTAGGTGCATGGTTTTCTGTGATAGCCTATGATGCTTGTGTTCGTTTATGTCTCCATTCATGGGCCATAGGTTGCATTGAAGAAGCTCCACACTTTTTGAGTAATGAATGTGCATTGTTGCGAAATGCATTTGGGTAAGTATTTTCTTCCCTTATTTGTGTTTCATGTCCTCTTTTTTGCAGTAGATTTTGTTTGTTAAGGTTGCTATATGATAAGCTAGACCACTAGCAATGGAAAGAGGGAGTTTGGTCAATGGAAGTGCACTGGCATTTAAATGCCTATAACTTGCACTCCTTCCTGGTGCAAAAATTTTTTTCGTGCAAATTGCCCTGGATATCGTATTACTATTATAATAAGTATTTGTGAAAAAATGGAACCATGACTGGAAAGGTTTCAGGCATGGTTGGCATATGATGGGACTTATGAGTTGTTTGTTGCCTTCCATCAGAACATCTTTCATCCCAGGATAAGAATAAGTCTTGGTTAATTGGAAAGCACCAGACTGATTTGTTATATGCCATAGATTTTATGTCTGGCTGAAGCAGCTGATAAAATTAACAAAATAGTTGTGCTTTTATGTGTTTGTGCATGTGTTTAAGGTGTGGGCAGGTCTAGGTGACACTTTATGGCATGTTTTTAACTATGTTTTTACTTTATGTGTCGAATACATATTTATAATTATTATATCTAATTTCTAGTTTGCAGAAGGTGTTACTGCAATCAGAAGAAGAACTATTGACAAAACATTCTCCTGAGTTAGTCAGTGAGAAAGGTGCTCCAAAGTCTAAAACAGTTGGCAAAATGAAAGTGCAAGGTAGCAGCTTTTCCCTAGACATTCCACTGATGCAGATTCTGAATGCATTTTTGACTTGTAGTCCTTAATAAACATTTTGAACTTCTTGCCATTGAACAGTACGTAAGGTAAAAATGGGCCTAGACTCGTCTCCAGGGTGCAGTTTTTCATCTCTAAAACCATCCGTGTTAAAAGTGGAACCGCTCCGTCAACGTTTCTCCACTCTGAATTCGAAGTTGTCCACTGGATGCAAAGCTCTACGTAAAGTTCATGTGACTACTCATATTCCTGCAGATGGTACATTTTCACAACAAGGCCTGGCTTATGTGCAGGCAAGCACTCAGTATATAAAGCAGGTCTGCAAGCTCCTAAAGAATGGGGTGGCTACTTTGCACAATAGCTCATTATCATCTGAAGTAGTCCCAGGTATTTTTTTTATGGTTAAGAATTTTAGTATCATTTTTAAAATTTTTCTGAAGTAATTAACTAGTCTAACACAGCCAAAAAAAAGGCTAGTACAATGTTTAATTGTTTTCTTTTTATGGGACTGGCAAAATTTTCATTCCACTAAAGAAATATGTACAACTTACACCCAGGCAGTGTTGCAAAAAGCATGGTGCCCTGCCACCTCACCTAGGCCTTAGGTGGCAGAGCTTCATTACCCTGTGAGATAGGAGGTTGATCACCAAACCACCAATCATAGAAGAGAAAAGTTTCCTGAGCCCTCATCAGAATCAAATCTCACACCACAGACCTCATTTGCAAAATTTTCCTTCCAAGGTCAAGAGCAGTCATCAGGGATCTCTACCTCCCATACACTCTTACTCTTTAAGTAAATTTCATTAACCCATTTCACCCATAAACTCTCTTTATTTGCAAATAGCAACCACAGGTATTTGCATATGGCAGCTTAATTCCATGCTTTCACTTGCTTCATACCCAATCCACCTTCTTCTCTCCTTGGTAAGCATACATTCTCCTAGGCAACCATTATTAATCCTCTTTTCTCACAAGCTTCAGACCATAAGAAATTCCTGCATGGGCCATCTATTTCTTTGATGACGTTGTTAGGTCAAAGTCGAACAAAACTGAGTTGATAAGCTGAATTCTGCCAGAAAAAGTTAGGTACTTATTAGCCCATCCAGGGATCCTCTTTTTGACATTATCTATAATGTTAATGAGTTGAAAAGCAGCTATGGATAGTCTTGAAGTAATTAAAGGCACTCCAAGGTAACAGACTGGTAAAGCTCATGAGCTACAACCCAACTGAAACAACAAACTTTTAATTATTTTCTTCCATTAGTTTTTTCCTTTTCCTTTTTTTAATTACAAACTTTTATATGTAATTATTTATATGTAATTACATTTTGGAAGAATTCTTCCCATAAGCATTTTTGTTTTGATTACTCAATCCATCAGTCCCCTTTCCCAGGGATAATTGTTTCTTACTTGCTTTCCTTGACTAACTTAAGGTAATCTTCTTTTCTTAGAAACATATTCTTTGGTGTTGAAATTAAAAAGTTCATCTGAAGTTGATGTGATACAAACACAACCAGGATCTCGTGAAAGCTATTTCTTGTATGTAACTCCTTCCACCAATCTTCCCCTTCCTACTTCCCAAAGATTGTTCTCTTTCTGTTTGTTTGCTTAATAAAAGGTGTTATTATCATTTCCCTATTCTTGCTACACAGCTTACCTGATGGTCTTAGTGATGACCTGGTTGTTGAAGTTCTTGACTCGAAGGGGCTGTATTACGGCCGTGCTGTAGTTCAAGTGGCAGCTATTGCTGATGATCCTGTAAGTATTTCAAGATTGGGATTTCAACTCTTAATGCTAAGGTAAAAGGTAGATGGTTGTGCTGGAAATTTGAAATTTTGGTTTGGCTTTTACTCCAGGGTGACAAGGTTCGATGGTGGCCTTTATATCATGAGCCAGGGCATGACCTTATTGGCAGAATTCAACTTTTCATAAACTATACCCAAGATGAGAATAATCATCTTAAGGTGTGAGCAAATTTTAATCTACAATACTCTTCATAAACCTTGAATTTTACTAGAACTCTGCTAGATTTTTTTTTTTTTTTTTGACAGTCATTTTTGTTTTCTTTTGACTGCTAACTGTACCTATAACCATCCCCTTCTCCTTTTTACAAGTTGAGTTAGAATGAGGAAAATAGCAATCACACAGGAATCAGTACTAAGTGTTATTCTTTCTTGTCTTTCCAGTGTGGTTCTGTTGCAGAAACTGTGGCATATGACTTGGTTCTAGAAGTTGCAATGAAAGCTCAGAACTTTCAGCAAAGAAACTTGTTGCTCAAAGGCCCCTGGAAGTGGTTAGTGATGGAATTTGCTTCATACTATGGAGTATCAGATGCATATACCAAATTAAGGTAAAATTGGTCATCTATATACTGGTTGGACTTTTAAGCTAGGATCATTTTGTTTAATGTTCTATGCTGCTGCAGATATCTCTCCTATGTCATGGATGTGGCTACACCCACTGAAGACTGTCTTACATTGGTACATGGTTTACTTTTTCCAATATACATGAAGGGCAAAAGTAGGGGCAGCCTAAGTCATCAAGAGGTATCATTCAATTAGAATGAAATTTATTCATTTAATTTGAAGTCTTCTTTTTATGTCTCTAGTTCTAGTACCATGGATGCTGAGTTCTAATGTCAATTGTCTTCTACCATTTGAAATGACTCGTCACCACTACTACATGGTTCTGTAAATTAGATAGTATCAACTAAGAAAAGGGATTTGTCAAAACAGAATTCTCCCTAAGTTTGATTCTATTTTGAACGCCTTTCTGATTCATGATAGGTTAGATCTACTTGATCCACTATCTATTTAATGAATTCCTAACCAAATTTTTTTCTTCTATCTTGATTGGTCCAATTCAGATATTTTATTAGTATTGAAGTGTAGACTGCACATATTCCTCTTACATTTTTGTATTCATTCTCTAAGCTTGGTAGTAGTATATATTGGTCAAAAGTATATATATCATATATGTATATATTTTTTAAGTATAACTGTAATATTGAACAGAAGCGCATGCTGGGAGAAATTGAGGATAAATTACTGCAGATTCTGACTTTGGTTTTTGAGAATTACAAGTCATTAGATGAATCATTGCCATCAGGAATGGTGGATGTTTTCAGGCCTGCCACTGGACAACCAGCAGCTGTCTTGGTTCCTGCCATCAAGTTATACTCTCTACTGCATGATATGTCAAGTCCAGAGGCACAATTGAAATTCTGCAGATATTTCCAGGTATTAGAATGTTGCCATAGTCATGATTTCTTATATTTATTTCATCTTTTTATGAATTGCTGATAACCGTACAGGCTGCAGCAAAAAAGAGGTCGAGAAGACACCAAGCTGAAACAGATGAGTTTATTTTGAGCACTAACGAGGGCAGGTTGATGGATTCAATGATTTTCTCAACTTCTTATCGGAAGATGAAATCTCTAGTTTTGAGTGTTAGAAATGAAATTTCCACTGACATAGAGATTCACAGTCAGAATGTGCTCCCCAGGTGAGTGTCACCTCACTTCGTGTAGTCTTATATAGGCCTATATGTGTACTTTCCAAGCATGGGATTTTCATCTTTCCCTTTCTTGATTTATCATAAATGTAATATTTCATATAGTGAAGGTTTACCTTCTAGTTATTTAGCCTCAAGGAAATCCAAAACCAGTAATATTAAAATGAATACATGGTGTAAACATCCAACCTAAGACCAATTGGCAATAGGTGGAGTAGTCCATATTGTATTTAAGTCCAGAGGTTTCTCCTTAATGTACCTATGTGAGATTTTTCTTGTTTAACACACCGAAAAAAAGGGAAAAGAAACAAGATGATTTTTAATATAATAAATTAATAGAAGGTGGTTGATTCAAATGAAAGGAAAAGTGAAGTTTTTAGGATGAGCTTTGATTGTCTTGGAGCTGTAGGGTATGATTTGTATTCCTTCTATATCTATTTTTGTTATTGCTTTGGTTTCCCCAGTGGTACTATTGGTTAACATTATGTCTTGAACTTTTTGCAGTTTTATAGACCTCCCAAATCTTTCTGCATCCTTGTACAGTGTGGAGCTCTGCAGTAGATTGAGAGAATTTCTTGTTGCATGTCCTCCTTCTGGTCCCTCACTTCCTGTCCTTGAACTTATTATTGCAACGGCTGACCTTCAAAGAGATCTCTCTTCCTGGAACATTAAGTAAAAAGCTGTCTTAGTTTATGATTCCATATTTGAAAATAAAAATTGTTCATAGTCTTTGTTCTAGATAATAGACAATTATTTTTGGGCTGTTAATGATTTTTTATTCTCCCCTGGTCAATATTTTGCAGCACTATTAAAGGGGGGGTTGATGCAAAAGAGCTGTTTCATTCATTTATAACCTCTTGGATTGAAGACAAACGTCTTGCTTTGCTTGGGTCATGCAAGCTAGATAAGGTATGAATTTTGCAGGTGTATTTATTCAGTGGCAAATAAAGTTAATAATAGACATGTTCTTTCTACCAGCACATGATGTTTGAAGTTTTGTATTTAGTTTTTAATATTTTTCATAAACTTGTGTTTCTTCTTGTTTGCTGATGCATTGGACATTAAGGTTGATTGCAATTTGCAAAGCCTATTTTGTTTGGAAAATTTTTAGAAGTTCTCATGCTTTAACTTGATTGGTTTGAATTCTAACCATCAGTTTTACCAGTTATTATTAGAGCTTAGTCAAAGGAACTGCAGTAATTTTAAAAGAAGAAGAAGAGATTTACTCGTGCAAGGGACATAAATATGTTGGCAAAATCTTATGTTAAGCCCCTAAAGTTATCCCAAATTCTTGATTAAGCCCTTCAACGTTTATCGAAGCAAATAAGCCCTTGAACTCGTTGATTTAGGCAATTTAATCCTCCTCTTTACGGCAAACTTAATGCATGCCTTGTTTGCGTAGACAAGGTCAATACCCACCACGGAGTCAATGACATGTCAATATCTTATTCACAAGTGATGCACAAAAAAGTGTTAGGTCCACCATAAAGAAGAGAGGTTAAATTGCCCAAATCTACAAGTTTAGGGGCTTGATCAAGAATTTGGGATAAGTTCGGGGGCTAAACATAGGGTTTTGCATGCCTACATGGTAGAGATGTTGACTGACCATGCACACTGGATCAAAATTGTCTGTAGCTCTGATTTTTCCTCTTTCTTTTTTTTTTCTAATCCCCTCAGTGACAATTCTTGGAAATGATTGCTTTCAGTTAAAGTGGTCTGGTGCTAAAACACAACACTCTACAACTCCCTTCATTGATGATATATACAATCAGCTAATGGAGGTGTTGGCTGAATATGAAATCATCATTTGTCACTGGCCAGAGTACAGTATAGTCTTAGAAAAGGTTTGTCCCTGTAACTTCTATATTAGCATCAGAATGGTTATTACTGCAGTAAACATCCATGGAAGAGGAACATATGGCATAAATAATTCGAAATTGTTGACATGACTTAATAGCTTTCAGTATTTCTTATTTTTTGTTTTATGGCACAAGACTTTTTTCTTATGTGCACCCTTATTACCTTCTACCATTAGGGTGCTAACTAAAATGGTTAATGGCAAGCTGGATTTTTCATTATTTGATTTGAAATTATTAAAGAACGATTAATGGCTGTGGAGGGTGAATATCCCTATCTTATTCTACCAATTCTTTCGACAATTTTGTAAAATATTCTCAATCTATATGAACATCATTTTTAGTGTTTAGTGTTTGGTTTTTGTAAAGGTTGTCTCAGATATTGAGAAGGAAATTGTCAAAGCTTTGGAGAGGCAGTATGCTGATGTGTTGTCACCCCTCAAGGACAGTCTCACTCCCAAGATTTTTGGCCTTAAATATGTTCAAAAATTTGGAAAAGGAACCCCCAATACCTATTTTGTCCCAGATGAGGTAAACTTGTTCATTTCATGTTATGTTGAGTTGTTAGATAATGCCTTGTGGAAAATGTGATTATTTTCTTTCAGCTGGGAATTCTTCTGAATTCCATGAAAAGGATGTTAGATGTGTTGCATTCCAAGATAGAATCCCAATTCAACACTTGGCCTTCCTTCACTCCACCTGGTGAAAATGAAAATTTAGGGGAACATTTCCGTGAAATAACAGTGATGCTGAGGGCAGATTTGAGGAACTACATGCAAGCAATAGTAGAGAAACTTGTGGAGAATGTGAGTACCCTTTGAACTGCACCAGATGCCATTATTCATTCGATTATTATGCTCTTTTAAGTTTTAAGCATTAACTTAGTTCTTGTCATGCTTGTCATTTTTTGTAAAAATGTAGTTGTATAACTGAGCTAATAATGTTCCTTTAGAAAATTCTCTACTTCACTATTAGATTCTATATTCCTATAAAAATTTGCCAGACTGCCATTCATTTTCATAATGGTAACCTGAGAGATCAATTGAAAACATAATAACTTGATACGTGGATGGAATGCTTTTGGGAGCTAAGGATATCTATTCTATGCTAGTTTACTCCATGCTTGACTGCATTTGTGGCAACATAAAAGTATGCATATATACTTTTTCTGTGTATGAATACAATCGTGTATTTGTCTCTGAGTGCACAATAAAGATTTTGAGATATTAATTTTGACAAATATCATGTCATTTCTTTGTTTGTTCATGAAGACGAAAATCCAGAGTTCAACAAAATTGAAGAAGATAATTGAAGATGAACAGGAGAATGTCACTGAATCAGATGTAAAAATTAGAATGCAGCCTTTGAAGGATCTTGTGATAAAGACAATAGATCACCTCCATTCAGTCTTTGAACCTCATGTATTCATAAACATCTGCCGGGCTTTCTGGGGTCGGATGGGGAAGGTAATACATTGTGCAAATATATATAATACTGGATTTATTGAATCTTGAAAACATCTGTTCTTTTTCTGACTCACAGGATGTGATTTGCTTTTTGGAAAATGGGAAAGAGAAGAGAGGGTATAAATGCTTAAGAATTGCAGTTTCTGTAAGTTTCACTTCACTCCTATCCCTTTCTCCCGAAATATGTCACAATTGGAAGTTACTTTTGGTCGGTATTTCCTTTTGATCTCATGCTAGTTAGAGTCATAATTATCATGTAAAAAAATAAATACGGGTTTCAGAGGTGCGGTGTGAAACTTGGAAATTATCACATTACATAAAACTTGACGCAATAGGGACGCTTTAAAATGGGTAAAAGATGCATGCAACAGCCTACTTATTCCCATTTAATTATCACCATGGTTCATTTTCATTTCCTGTTCATCATTGTGGCTTTATTTTCAGGTCTTGGATGACTTGTTCACATCACAGATGCAGAAGCTGCTTGGGAATGCAATCCATGACAGCGACTTGGAACCACCAAGTTTCATAATGGAAGTGCATTCCATGCTGGATTCTGTTAATTCCAAGGAGAATAACTACTATTATTAGGTACATATGCTATACTTCACCAATTCTCATGTGCATAAAGGAGAAAGTGGCTTTACGTTTGCCTTACACTAAAGAAAGGATTGCAAATACCAAATAGCACACCTGAAGTGGATACTACCAGGTAACAGATACACTCCAGATGTCAAGTTCTATCCATTTTGCTCTGCTATTCGTGATTTTTGTATTTCCGATCATGATCATGGCCTACATTGTGGATATCATTTACTTGCTGAGAAATGTAAAATTTTGAGAAACCAGATATTCTGATGATCATATATAATATTGGAATTAGAAGCTATTCAACCCTCCATTTGGTTTCATGGAAAATGATTTCTTGGGAAGTTGTAGCTTTAACGTGTACATGAAAAGGAAATTAATAGTTAGAGATAGATAGCGGATATGACTTTTAAATGCCATACACCAAATTCCGGACGTAATGAATTTGTTCTTGCAAATGGTGGAAACTGTTTTTAAGTCGGCACGATAGGGATGGAGGGGAAACACGGCATCTGATTCCAAGCATTTCTTCCTCTGAGCAGCTCTGCAGACCGCATCTTTACAAATGGGGTGGTCTCGGAATTATGACCTTCCTTGGCAAACTGTTTGATGTTCAGATGCCATATGAGGATAAACGGATCAACTCTCGAGCACTTATACTTTCAAGCAT